ATGCCAAATCTCACCTTCAATTACAAAGGCAACACTGACCCTCTCAACTACTTCTCTGAGTTTCAAGGAGTAGACTTGATTCTTCTTTTGAATGAAAGTAATCAAGCGATCCTCAGTATCATATATCCTGCAGCAGTTATCCTTGAATCCGACCGAGTAGCCTCAATTAGTCATCTGATTCACACTCAGTAGATTCTGTGAGAGGGTAGGAACAAAATTTACATCAGTGATAAGCTTCCTGCCTTCCTTGGTTTCAATGGCTATGTTGCCTTTGCCCTTGATGGTTTCCAGCATACCATTCCCAAGTCAGACCTGGCCTGTGATTGTTCTGTCAAGTGATACGAATAAGTCCTCATCCTTGCACATATGGGAGGTGCATCCACTGTCCACCACCCAAAGAGTATCATCCTCCACTGGCAGCTTACTTAGTGCAACGAGAATTGTGTCATTTTGTTCACAGGACACCTTAGTGACATTGGCTTGTTGTTGTTCCTGCTTTGGCTATGATTCTTCCAGCTTCTGTTTCTGTCTACAGAATTTCTCCTTGTGGCCAAGCCTTTTGCAAAAATTGCACCGAACGGTTTTCTTTCCCTTGTACCAGCACTCATTCTCAGAATGATTTGTTAAGGAACAGATACTACATTGAGAATATTTTCTTTGTTTACTGGAATTCTGGTTTCTAGTTTGATTCCATCCACTCCTTCTTCCTTGATTCTGTGTTGAAGAGCTGCCTTTGATCTGAGTTGAAATTAAGGCTCCCTCAATATGTTGTCGAACATGCATATTTACACGTTGCTCACTGGATTGAAGCTTGTTTATTAGCTCAGCCGATGAGATAGACTCTATGTTTGCTAACTCCTCCAAGGCTGAGATTTTAGACTCGAATTTGGGGGGCAAGCTGATAAGAATCTGCTCTACTACCCTTGATTTTGGAAAATCCTCCCCAAGCAGTCTCATTTTGTTTACCACATCCGAGAGTTTGGATGCATAGTCTTTCACTGATTCATTTTCCTGCATTCTGAGTAATGCAAACTCACTCTTCAGTCTCAAGATTTTTACCTTCCTGCTTCTGACTCCCCCATCGAACTCTTCCTTAAGTTTCTCCCAAACAGCCTTTGGTGATTCGAAGTTCATAATCCTTGAAAATACCCTATCCGAAACGGCCGAGAAAAGGCAAGCAATTGCCTTTGGTTTCTTGGCTTTATCTTCCTCGTGCTTTCTGATTTGGTTTATAGTGGCACTGTCCCCTGGTGGAGGAGGATCACTGTCATCCAGAATAACATCCCACAGATTTAAGGCTTTCAGATGGGCTCTCATTTTGATTGCCCATACATGGTAATTTTCTCCATTGAAGTGTGGACGGGTGTTGTTCCAGTGGATATCATTGGATTTTTTGAGGGTATAACGGCTCTGATACCACTTGTTGATTGGAAGCAAATAAGCTTCAAATGAGACTCTATGAATGAAAAAATTTAGAGAGAGAAAGTTGAGGAGAGAGAGGGCAGCAAAACAGAGCAAGCTAATGCAACTGCCTCTGTTTTACTGTTTCTTAAGAGGCGTGCACTTTCTTTGGAGAGAAGAAGTAATCTCTTCTTTTTATTTCAGCATATATATAGAAATACAAATTTAAACAGATTATATCAACCAACCGATCAAATCAAATCGACCGAAAATCATGCATACATATCGCATGAAATTTTATGTATCCTTCCGTGAAACAACTTCACGGTGGATTTCCTTTTTTTTGAATTTAAACTCAATCAGAAAAAATCACTAAATTTAACACCTCCCCAAGGACCCAAAACAAAAGACAGCTTCTACTATGAGGAAAGTAAATAAAATCTTAAGAACGTGATGTGAGAAAACTATATTATGCATAGCTAGGCATAATTGCAGCCATCAATCAGAATGAAAGAAGAGCATTCCTGCTTCGAAGGTGAGTTGTTAGTGATAACAAAAATGAGTTCCAAAAGTATGAGAAAAAGGCTAATCCATCTCCTATGGTGAAAAAAGAGTAGTGGAAGAGAATGAAACAACAAGCGCGGTTATTCGTTTTTTCATGTTCTAAGAAAGCTATGTTCCAAATTTCACCATTTCCAATCACAATAAGTTACAAAAATGAGAAGTTGCCCACAAATATGGAAAACTAGAAGAAACCCATTAATTTTCCTGATAAAATATTCAAGACCAGCATGAAAAGTTAGGGAAACCTAACCGTCGAGCAAAAACTGTGAAGTTTGAGGCTTTGCGTAGCTAAATATTCCTCGCAAGAAATGGAAACCGGAGACGGAGACGAAGACGGAGCCGGGACCGGAGACAGAAGCAAGCAACTATTGTCATAAATGCAATTCCCTTTCTCCTTCCAGGAAAAAATTATTTCTTTATATTTATTTATATTCTTTTTAGTGATGAAGCTGATAGACTAGCCTAGCTAGCCGCAATAAAACGACACCGTATCAGCCGATCAAATCTTCTGCTTTTACATTCAAAGATACCTGTAGCCTTGGTTTCTGGTTCAGTCAGTAGAGAGAAATGGAAGGAGAAAGAATCCCAGAGACGGGGAGAGTGGGGATTGTTATTCTGACGCTCTTGTGTGTGTTGGCACCTATTTGCCACGCTTCGAGGAAAGTGATAGATTTGGAAAGTGGACCAGAATCTGTTATATGGGTGGTGCAGCTTTCTGATCTCCATTTCAGCGTCCACCACCCTGATCGAGCCCTTGATTTCAAGCGCCTGGTCGCCCCTTCTCTCTCCCTCATCAACCCTTGCCTTGTCCTCATCACCGGCGATCTCACAGGTTAGTCGAATCTTTCATCATCTATCTGTAATTTCATCATATTAGATTGATCAGGATGTATGAATTCCTTGTTTGAGCTTCTTCTTCCTGCACGTCGTGTCATTAACCATGGCTGTCTTTACTAGCTTCTGCTAACAAGGCACCAGAGCCATGTTTTTATCTAACCTGTGCCGGTAGTTTTAATCACACTTGCAGGATCAGAACAGATACAATGCAATATCTGAATAGATTTTCTCAGTGTATTAGATTTGTTGGACTCTAAATGTTGACGCGATTGGAACGTAGTCACTTCAGAGAAAATATCAACCAACTAATCTTGTCTTGGAACATATCTAAACTCTAAGTCCTCCTTGGGCTTGTGCAACTGTGTGTTTGAGAGTTTTTAATGAGATTTCGCTTGAGACTCAATTATAATAAAGAGTTGAACTATCAGTTTGTTTGCTTGGGAGATAGAATTACTAAGATGATAAAAATGGCCTTATTTAGTAAATATAGTTGTTATGTTACATAAGGTGGGATATTAAGATAATTTAATTGAAAAAGTATAAAAAAGAAAATTTTTATACTCCCTCCCAATCTCCGATTGTTGAATAAATGGACATTCTAGAGGTTTTAAGAAGCCTTTTTTTAATTTGATCACCTATCTTTCTTTAAGAACCTACAAATGGAGTTTCATAAGTAATCTGCCTTACTTTACTCTTTTTTATGCCTCAACATAAACTTTCCAACAAAATGTAAGAAAAGATGCATATTAAACTCAATAATTTTGGATTGTATGTACACTGTGCTAATATTTCTGCAGCATGTGATAGTAGTATCTGTTGTATTACAATGCAATTGTGATAACACATTCTGGAACCTAGTAGTATCTGATTTCGTAGTTGAAATTATGCAATATTTGGCTTCTGCACTTGACTAGGATACGACTGTTTGTTTCTTGGCACTCCAACAAACCAGATTTGTGCTGAAAAAAGAAGCATAACCCGCACTTTATCTTCTTGTGTTAGGGCAGCCAGCTAATATCAACATCAAAATATCCTATTAGGTGCATTACGGAATCATGATATATCTTTAGTCCATCGGTAATGCTCCTTGATATATCAGATATTCATAGCTTGATAATTATAATATCTGGCTTCATGCACATATTAGCAAACTTGTTTTACAGCAAATGATGGGTTAGGATGAAAAAACATTTTCAACATCCGATTGGTGTATAGTCAGGCCATTGTTTTGAAATGGCTATGGAAGGACCTGTATGAATTGTAGAACATTTAACTGCTTCACTATATATCTCATTGAATAGATCTCCAGTAGTTGATGGTATCCCATTGTTATTAATCTTGCTCTAAAACATTCTAAAGTGCCATCACACATTTGTTTGACGTTCATAAGCACATCTAGAAGCTACAAGTCTTTGTAAAGCCATCTAGAAGCCACAATATTGACTATCAGTAGTGGAGGAACAAGTAACAACTTGCCAAGTATGATTTTTGCAAGCAGGGTATTGAATGCTGCCATTGCTTGTCTCTAGTTCTGGTGTTTTGCTGCTTGGTTGTATGTTTTTGGTCCTCAAAAAGTGCACTTGAATCAGAAAGGGGAAAGCTAGGAAGTATGGAGTTTGAGTTGGGAGTTCAATGTTATTGTGAAAGCCAAGTATCCCTACGATTTTCAGTGAGTCCCTGTCTGATGAAGAATGCACTAGCACTAGATTTCCTAAATAAATTAGAAATTGTAACTATATTAAATGTAAAACAATTATATTATTAAGGAGTCTATTACTATATCATATAGGAGTCATTGTAGTTTTAGTAACTTTATGATGTTATTCTTATGGGTATATTTCCTATTTGGATTAGCATTCCTAATTTTGCTACTTACTATTTTCTTAATTTAATTCTATTTAGAAAAGACTACTTAAAATCATTATAAATAACTTGATACTTATCGGAGCATTCAGTTATTCAATAATATTTTGAGGATTTCTCAATCTTTTGCTTGTGTGATGCAATCAAACCCTGAAGTGTGATGTTGAAGACTTCTTAAATGTGATGGCTAAGAAGTCCTAGATATGATGTTTATGTTTTTTATCCCCAAATCTCTAATTGAATAAATCTACTGTATTTGTTGCTTGTGTCCAAAGAAGCCCTTAATGGAGGTTGTTAAAAGATCGTTAAGGAAAGTTTGTAAGAAGCTGATGTGAAACCTGGAGCTTGTGAACTTTAGGCAAGTGAAAGATGAGAACTGGTATTTGGAAAAATTTTATTGAGAATCCTAAAGCTTTTTGCTAGTGGAAGTGAGGGTAAAGAGTTCAACGGAAATTGCTGATGTTGAGAAGCTTTGCTAAAGGAGAATGAGGACTAGTTGTTCCTTGGAATTTTCGTTAGGGGAAGCAAGTATTATTTGTCCCATATAAGTTTTGACTCAGAGCATTTTCCTTGGGGAAGCAAGGATTAATTATTCCAAAAGAGTTTTGAGCCATTAGAGCTTGGAGAGTGAGGATAAGTTGTTTTATAAAAAGTTTGTTTGTGAACCCTGGAGTTTTTGTTAGGGGAAGTGAGGATTATTTGTCCCACAAAAGTTTCGACTTGAGCATTTTTCTCCTTAGTGAGGATTAATTATTCTAAAGAAGTTGTGAGCCATTGCCTTATTGGTTCAGAAGTTGTGAGCATTGCTTTATTGGTTCCTTGCTTCTTGGAATGCCTTCCCTCCCTCTCACTATCTTCTATTAATTTTATCGATGTTCAATTCTTAGTGCATTAAAGAACTTTTGGTTGAGGACAAATCGAGCAGTACAGTTTAAACAATATGGGACAAAATCTGGGTATCTAGTTGATACATGAACTTATTGAGGTGAGAACTTTTTGATAACTTAAAAATTTGTGTAGTATATTAATCATGTATGTAAACCAAGGATGCTGCCTCATTTAGGTACTTTGTAGATTCTCCAAGAAGTGTCCAACAGTATGGTATTGGCTTTGTTTCTGCACACCTTTTTGCACCTATATTTGTGAATTATTCTGCCTTGTTATGCATGCATCAACTTTATTGAATTCTGACCATCCTTGATCAAGCGTGATGGTTCTTCCAAAGTTATTTTCTTCCTTTCTTAACCAGATGGGAAAAGCACGGACTTGCTAACAATGAAGCAAAATGAGGATGAGTGGGTGGAATACAAGAATGTAATGGAAGATGTTATGAAAATGAGTGGGCTTAATAAGAGCATATTCTATCATCTTAGAGGGAATCATGATAACTTTGGGGTACCACTTGTTGGCGGCCTGTTTGACTTTTTCTCGAAGTACAGCATCAATGGGCAATTGAGAAGGAGAGAGAATGTCAATAGTGTCACCATTCAGGTCAGTCCTCTTCCAATTTCAAACATTGTGTTTATGAGAAAATAGTTTGTTTGTGATTTCTCTCACCATTAAATTTAGATGAATAGTAGTGGATGTATCATAGGTCTTCAGTCTTTCGTCTGTTTGTATGGCAAATATTCTCCATAATTTTCTTTTTCAGCTATTTTATAGTGCTAACTTCAAGTTCTAGAATAATGCATCATTCAGATCATTCCATGCACTTCCTGTTTTACAGATGCCATTTCTCTCTGTGTTTCTGTTTTGTTTTTTCAAACATTAAAATAGTCTGTTTGTGAGTTCTTCACCATTAGTTTAGGTCTTTAATCTTTACTCTGGCTTTATATGGCAAATGTTTTCCATGTTTTTCCTTTTCAGCTACTTTATAGTGCTAACTTTTAAAATTATAGAATAATGTATCATTCAGATTATTCCATGCACTTTCTGTTTTACAGATGCCCTTTCTCTCTGTGTTCTTTTTTTGGGCTAATTCTGATCAAGCTTTATATCGTTGTAAGGTTACAAATTTTCATTGATTTTAACTTTACATCAGTAACGAGTAATATAGATCTTTTTCTCTTTTTCACTATAACGATCTAGATGCCCGTTTCCAAGCTATCAAATACTTGAGGTTGCTCTCATTGAAAAATTTTTGGCTTCTTATACAACAAACATTAATAGTTGGTATAGCAATATCCCTTGGAAAAGTAAATAGTAATTCCCTGAATTTGAATAGTAGATTACTGAGGCAACTAACAGATGAATGCTTTTCATTACTTATGTGTCTAGTTGGAGGATCCTTAGTCTGCTCTATGTTCTTTTCACCTATTATTAACATCTTCTTTCTATCCGATAAAAAGTTAGGTTTGTGTGTTTCTATTATCCAGACAGGTGAGAGTAAAAATCTATTTGTCAGCCTGGACAGCACAATGCATGTTGGTGTACGAGGCCCAACCAATCTTTTTGGCCATCCAACCAACCAACTCCTCAATGAACTAGAGGCAGAGTTATCACAATGGGATACTCAGCAAACAAAACTCGTGACCAAAATTGCCTTTGGACATTTCCCGCTTTCATTCTCGGCATTCTCAGAATCTGGAAAGAGCCTGAAAGATGTTTTTCTCAAGCATTCTTTATCATCATATTTATGCGGACATCTACATACAAGATTTGGCAAGAATTTGAAGCGGCACCATCAATCTGCTCCTTATTTTCCATCTTCACAAGAGTTGTTCCAGCTTAACATGCAACAAATAGCTTCTCAGAGTACTAAAAATTGTTCAGTTGGGGCCCCACCACTTAAAGAATTTTGGGAGTGGGAAATGGGTGACTGGAGGAAGAGTAGAGCCATGCGAATTTTGGCCGTTGATAGAGGTCATGTTTCATATGTTGATATTGACTTGAAGTCAGGAACCAAAAGGACTATCATATTGCCAACCTTCCCACTAGACTCATGTTTCATGTCATCATCTTCATCGAAATACAAGTATGAGTGCCAGCATACGGTCTTATCATCTTATGAGACAGTCAGAGCTTTGGTGTTTTCCATCTCTCCAATAGTCTCAGTTGTGGCTAGGATATATGATAGCAGACCTGGATTTCTCAATCTCGTCTTGGAAGCACCGATGAGAAAACATGCGGATGCTGCCTCTAGGGGAGATCTTTATACTGCTCGATGGAATTATAGAGCTTTTGAGGATCCATCGCCTGATAGATACTGGCTGCAAATAGAAGCAACTGATATCATGGGCAGATTGACATTGACAGAACTGAGACCATTTTCTGTTAGTGGTCAGAGTGCTAAAATCTCATGGACATGGAAGGAGTTTTTTGTTATGGGTTGTCAGTGGGCAGCATTATATTATCCAATTTTTTGGTCTGCTTTATTTTCTCTACTCTTGATTCTTCTTGTTCCAAAAGGTCTTCTTATTTTCTCAAAGAAGCACTACATGTATAAAACGTTTGTTTCCAAGAAAACCTTCATAAATGGTATAGCATGGATTCTGCAGGATCTCTGCAGGCTTCCAATAGCATGGTTTGGTCTGTTGGGTTACTTATTGTATCTAATCTTGTTTCCTTGGCTTTTTGGGAAAGTTTTCACAGACAACGAAAAAAGAGCATACATGACCTATATGGGGTGGGTAATAAAAATTTCTGATGGTAGCCAAAAACATGAATACATTGGTTCCCCGGATATAATGGTGGTGACTCTTCCCCATCTCTTTTTTGTGGTTTTACCTGCTATTTTGGTTATGGGGGCTTTGGCTGCTGAAAGAGGTGTCTACAGAGAACACATTTTATTACTTTCAGGGAAGAAAGAAGGTTACATGGACCAAGAAAAAAAGATTTCCCTAACATCGAAGTTCTGGTTTGTCAGGAGATTTATAAGAAAAATCCTCTTGCTGCTTTGCATGCCAATTTTTTGGAAGCATATAAAGGTGAAGCCTTATTCAATACTCTCTTTTCCCCTTACATTCATGTGCATCCCATATTAAATTACGTGATAGCTCTTAAATGAAATAAGTGTATATTTCTTGGAGTGTTTAAGAATCCCTTATATTAGGCTTATAGTCATTTGTTAATATTTCATAGGCCCACCTCCATCACTTTCACGTTCAAGTTACGGTCAGACAGACTTGGCATGAGAATAGTAGGCATGTCATGACTATCGCAATGAATTTATTGATTGGACCTTTTTGCCTCCATAATATGTGTATCTAACCTGCTTCATAATCACTGTATTTCCTTTTCAAATGATGGGCAAAAAAGTTCTATAAATTATTTTTAGAAGACTACCTCAGAAGCTCTATTGCAACAACTCGAAAAATTCTTGACAATAGATAATTTGCTTCATTTTTTTGGATTAGTTGATTATAATTGGCTTTATCGTGATTTTACTTATGTTGGTCTTTTGAATTGATTTCTTACAGAATTGCAGATCCCTTATCAGAGCTTATGAGATGAACCCACTGCATTTTCCAGGATATAGCCTAACAATTCCTTTACTATTGGTTTATGTCATCTTCAAAACGAAGGGGGTCTAGCGAAGGACCAATAATGGTAAGTATCACCTGTCGCTGAGAATTCTGTACTATTTTTTAAGCACGTCTCCGTCAATACAATTTCAGGTGGCAGATTTAGTACTCACCTTAAACTTATTAGAACCTGGAGAACTGATTCCGTGTTCTGTTCCGGTAGAAAGGGTTCAGCGTAGATCATGTGTATATCAACTGCTTGGGTGAACCATGAACAAAATAAATAGGTCTTGTTCACTATAACTGTACTTACGTGTTTGATTCAATTCATTTTGTCTTCTTTATCATTCCAACACTAGGGTTTTACCTATATTTCATACATATACATGTATATGTATATATGCACAATAAGAATGGTAAAGCAATAGAGTTTACCAATAGAGATTGAATTGAACCAAATCAACCATAAATGTAACTAAATTTGAAGCATGATATGCGTGGGAATGGTAAATTTGAATACATGTATATGTATATATGCACAATAAGAATGGTAAAGCAATAGAGTTTACCAATAGAGATTGAATTGAACCAAATCAACCATAAATGTAACTAAATTTGAAGCATGATATACGTGGAAAAATTGATCCCCTGGTATTTAGAATATTAACTCTTTTATATTCTGCATTGTGAAGAATAGAAGAAACCACTAGTACTAAAACTCTAGTGAAATTCAGGTTTTTTTCCCTTAAATTTTCTCTAGGGTTTTAAAAGAGAAGCTATTTTCCCAACGTTCTCCTTTATTTCGTTCTATTGTTTGTGCATGCAACATACATTTTCATGTGAATGCTTAGGCTTACATATCCAAATCCTGGAGGTTAGATTAACATTATGGACTTGCACAATCAAATCTGTAATGGAACTGAATTAATTCAAACTGCAATGTATTAAAATTATATTATTGGTATTAAATTCTTATAGTTTTTGTAAAATCGTCGATAATTTCATTTTATAATTATGTATGTATAGAGCCATGTCCATCATTTATTATTATTGTCATCATTATTATCATAAGTTCAATCAATCACTTAGAATTTTAAAACAACACATGTTCTAAAAGAATGTTCTCTTTATTTGACGATAGACCTTACTTATTTCAAACTTTGAGAAAGAAACTTATTTTTTCTTTTTATCTTGTGTTTACTATGATGAAGAATTTCAAAATCATTTGACGATAGACCTTACTTATTTCAAACTTTGAGAAAGAAACTTATTTTTTCTTTTTATCTTGTGTTTACTATGATGAAGAATTTCAAAATCAATAAGCACATTGTCAATAGTATGGCAGTTTAATACAAGAACATATTTATTTCCAAAAATAATATTGCAGAAATACAATGTTAGCCTATTAATGGAACACTTTGCGATCACCTTCTACATCAAATTGCATTGTTTAATAGGTTTCTAAGTGTTTTCCATGCATAGTTTAGGGTTGTCTTCCTCGTGATATTTGATGATTCTAAGACTCTCATTCCTGTTCAACTCATCAAGAACAAGGTGATGAATATCAAATTCTAGAAAATAACTACTGTTTCGTCAGGGCCTGTAACTTATGTGAGATGTTTGAAGCCGCCCTTATTTCATCTCATCCTTTGTGTATGCTTCCAGCAGGATCCATACTCAAGGCTAAACTGTTATACCCGAATTGCATAATTAAATAAATAATAAAAGTGTAAAATTTTAGAAAGACAACGCTGGTTACAAAAACAAAATGCTGACATTTTTATTTACATAAAACAATGTCCTAAAATATTACGGTGAATAATATAAAGAAATTTATGTTCATTAAAAATTAACTTATGAACTTCTAATCAACTTTTGACTAAAAGCTGTGAACAAAGGGAAAAGCCAAAACCAAACAAAACTTGTAAACCATTCTGTTTCGTACGATAATAAGGATGGATCTGATAGCCGGTAAGCATTCATATCGCCATCGTCAACTTTCCAGCATTAATCTAACATAAAATTGTCTCCGCCTACAACGTTACGAATCACTATATGCTGATATGATCAACCAAAGAAATAGATTTGTCCAACAGAGAAGAAACCCACTTCTCTAACTTGGGATAATGCAGCAAACACTTTCTACTGGTTAAAACTATTATTGGAATTGCAATAACTAATGTTATCTGCGATCTGTTAGAATAGAGAGATAATACTGCACGTAAATGAAGGATGAAACAAACATAACGGAAGAAATCACATTTAGTAAAAATCATGTACGATATCATTTTGGAACTGATATTCCAAAACTTTTTAACATTTACTGTAGCATATCTATGATTTTAACATTTGAAAGGAAAAAAAGGAAAAAAGCCAACCAAAATGGCTAAAAGAGATTACTTAATATAAATATAGAAACAGAAACTGACCATCACACTGGGTCGTCCTTGCAACGTACAGCAGCCGTTGGTGTAAAATTAAAAAGTCGCAGCCTATGAAGCTTATTCTATTCTTCCAAGGGCTAATGCAGCATAAGGTCCCGAGTAGTTTTCCATTTTACAATCCACTTCAAGCACTCAAATGTGCTAAAGCTATTACTACCTCAATAAATTACCATTAAAATGTTACAGATCGAGTATGTTGGGCAAAGATCCAGATACTAGATCTTAATATAACCAGCGTTCAAATAAGATGAGAGAGGTGTAAAGAAAAGAAACTATATACAGCTCCCTTCCCACTTTGTTCTTATCTTTAGACAATCCATTTTGCTTCATCAACATATAATTCCATTTTTTTCCAAAAATGAGAAGAAACAAGCTGATGTTTTTCTTCTCCTTGCACTAATTTACTGATCCTTCCCAAGCAACCTGAGACAATGTCAGAGTACCGGGCAAAGCCAATGTCTCTTCAATTTGAGGCCAAGTGCGCACTACACAGCATTCCCAATGATTTATCGACGCTGCTGGCACATTTGGCAAACAGTGGCTGACCTGATATTAGCATAGGTGCAATATTCACAAGACCAATGCCCGGAATCATCACCACTTCTACTGGGGCCACCGGCTCTAGAGGTTGAACCTTTCCCTTTTCCACTTCTCCCTCTATTGCTCCCACCCCCAAAGCTCCTTGAACTTCCTGCTCCGCTGCAGGCACCATGGGAGTCCACATCTGATAGACCATTTTCTAGAGCTCGTACTAAATTCTCAAAGTAGTTCCGAGTCACACTGTTGGCATACATTAATCAGCAACAAAAGAATAATTCTTGAAATCAATAAAATCACTTTGAACAAGCTTCAATAAATCCTTGCATTTAAGTATCTGTTTTCCTCACACAGTAGACCCATGACATTCAAGGTATTTGAAATTTTTACAGGATAAAACAAATGTACAGTAGAAAAAGAAGAAAAAGAACAAAAAAAAAAAAGAATTTTAGGTGATAAATTACCAAGAAGAAAATTTACTGAAAGTTTAATAGACTTTACCAGGATGATGAAAGAAACCTTGAATTCTATTTTAGCCCGACAAAACCTTCAAAAGCACATGCAACTTATGATGTAAAAATTGCAATTTTGCAATTTTGCCTCTCGACAGACATAAATCGATGCATCTGATCCCATCTGGGCCAAATTATCCATAAAAATTTCTTTTTTTTTATTTCAATAAATATATCAATTAAAAATCACCTTGCTGACCCTGCAAGTTTTGTGCGGGACTCGTCAAAATCTTTTTAAAAAAAAATAAAAAAAATCACCTTGTTAACCCAGCAAGTTTTGTGCGGAACTCATTGAAATCTTTTAAAGGACCATCAGCGGTGAGGTAAACTTGCAATTCCTTCTCTGCACATTGATGTAGCCGTTCCAGCCCAGATTCAGCTTCACCTGCAAGACTGATAGTGAATAGCAATCCAAGGGATGTAGATATGAAATGAAAGGTAGTGGATGGAGGAATGACCTTGCAAATACTCAAAAAACTGTCTTTTTGCATGCTCATGCTCAGGCAAATAATAACCATAGGCATATGTCCATTTTAGAACTCGCCTGCACTCTACTATCTACAAACATAGAGAAGGATAAGCAGAAGAAGAAATTTTTGTCCACAGTGCAAAATTTTGAAGTTACCTGTAGCCATGCCTCTGTAATAAACTTTAGCTGTGACTCAGGTTGGCACTGTACGTCACTCAGCTTCTCAAGCTACAAAGTGAATGATACATCCCCATCAACCCTCCATATTATAAATAAAAATAGATGGGTCTTGGAAAGATAAACATCATCTCACAACATGTAAACTCATCTAATGAGAGCTTCACATAATCTTTTAGCATTATAAATAGATCAGGCTTTAAAAGCATGAAGTAGAGGAACAACTACTAGCAAGGAAAGCTGAGAACTGGGGGCAAGGGAAGAGCATTCATCATTATTGAGCAACATATACGATTGTTTATTAAAACTTTTACCCCTTCAAAGAATTATAATCATATTGGTTTTATAACCAACTGAAAAAAATGGAAACTTTAAGGTAGAGTTTACTCCTAGAAGAAATAGCAAGGCTAGGTTGCACTTTGCGTAGAAGTATTTTCAAGTTTTTACATGTATAACAATATGCATAATATATTTATTTATATATGTGGCATAGCACATATACACACATACCACCACACAAAAGCAAAGGTATTTCCGTTTTTTGATCTAGCAAATAGGTAAACACATGCTCAAAAAAGGTCTCTCTTCATAACACCAATCCTTCCAGAATCCCCCCATTGTATACTAACCTTGGACTCCATCAATATGAAGATAAACTCCAATCACTTCCCAGTAATATTGCAAGAAGGCCATGGAGAATCCATCCAGACTTGGGGCTTTGTCCCCATTACAGAGCCTCATGATATCCTGAACCTCCTCTTTATAAATGTTGCCAACACCAAACTGTGCACAGATTATCAAATGCCAGAGGCAATACTGTTCTATTTTGACCTCCAGCCTCCAGACCCTGTGTAAAGCCTATAAAATAATCCTTTCACCCTGTTTAGAAACTATGCTCTACCTTGAATTCAGCCCCTAAAGCATGATTCTATACATGAATATCTTCCTACGTGCAAGGTGGACTTCCTATAAAAGACTTGGCACTACAATCCCAGCTAATTCCCTAAAACCTCAATATTTTACTTTGTCATCTTCTCCGCCAACATCCAACTAGCTAACTCCAATTTGGCCGATTTTCTCCTCTATCTTCACCTCCTCCACATGGTTCCAAACCACCACTGCCTCACCTCTAGGCCAGTCTACCTAGATGATTCCTTACCGTTTCCTCTTATCAGAGACAAGCTCCCATCCTTAATTCTCGATTATTCTCAAATGGGAACACAATTGAACCCCATCCAATGCCCTCCTAAGTATAGGCACAAAGGATAGGGATCAGAAATGCTTGCAATAGTTTCTGACTCACATCAAGCATCAACTTTACAAATTCCATCGACACTAACAACCAGTCAA